ATCCATGTAATATTTTTAAGTATTTTAATTATTTTTTGTTTGAAAAACTCTTAAGCATTAAGTTAGATCTGCTTGCCAAAGTTAGGGTTCTACTTAAGGCAACTGAGGTAAAATCTGATGGATTAATGTTGCCTTTCCACTTTTTCCCCCCAGTCATCAGGTATTCAAGGCACTGGACTGTTCAAGGAAGAAGCTCTTCAGATCCCACCAGAAAATGATGAGTCGCAAGGGTGGCACATCAGCTTAGATGGTAAGTCTCTGTGCAAGTACATGCAGAAAATTTAACAAATTAATTTCTCGTTAATTTTTCAAGTGCTGTACAAATAGAGACAACACAATGTATGGTGTAAATTGAATGCAGTGAGGCTATTTTAACTTTTTCTCACTACTCTTGTTTCAGAAGCAGATGTGTCAGCTCTTCCAGGACCCAGTAAATGTTTTAATGACCAAAAGATCCCAAAGTGCCAAGTAAATTGGGAAACTGGATTTGAGCAGAGAGCAGAATCAAACAATGATGGACACTCGGGTGAACCGACTGAACCTCTGTTCCCAAACAGGTACGGCATGGAAGACTTAGATGGCATTGACAAGTCTGGATATGGAGACACTGGAATGATAGACATGGGTAATTTTGATGGAATACATTCACCATCGCACCTGGGCAAAGATCTGAGTTATGTGGGCCATTATGATGAGGATGTGGAAACACCAGAAGGAGCTGATCATCAAGCTTACCAAACAGGCACTCAGCGGAATAGAAAGGATCAGGAAGGTTCACCCTCAGGTTCCCCCTCTAGGACTAACATTGATGTAAGTGGAGAGTTCAGCTGTTTACTAATTAATGAGGAGGGGTATCTGCAGGACACAAATGTCTTGTACCCTGAACAAGTGTCCAGTGATTCAGGTAGTAGATTCAGCTTCCGCGGCCAGGGTATTCGTATTGGCCCTTCTCTAGACAGCACTGAGGATATGTATGAGCCTTCAGATACGTACAGCGATACCTTAAACGTGGGACAACAGATGCAACATCAGGCAACAGTGAGAGGAGCAAGGAGATACACTTGTAACCAGTGCTCCATGTCCTTCCCGGATTCTGCTTCCCTCAAGGCTCACAAACACACACACAAAGGCACTGGACAAGTGCCCCCATACTCCTGCAACCAGTGTGGAAAGACCTTTACTCAAGCTTGTAACCTTAAAGTCCACCAAAGGACTCATTTAGGGCAAGGGGTTCACCTCTGCAGCCATTGTGGTAAAGGTTTTCCTTCATTTTCTGAGCTAAAGGCACACAAATGTGGTCAAGTAGGGGACAAACCATATTGCTGCACAGTATGTGGGAATAAGTTCAGCCGTCTATGGAATCTTAAGTTGCACCAGAGAATTCACACACAGGAAAAACCTCATCGGTGCACCATGTGTGACAAGAGCTTCACAAGAGCAGACATATTGAAGGTTCACCAGCGTACCCACACAGGGGAAAGACCATACTGCTGCACTGTTTGCGGTCTCAGCTTCAAACGCCTGGATCATCTGAAATCCCATCAACGCAAGCACATGACAGATCTATAATTCCTTGGGAGAAGAAGTATCAAATTATTTAATATTATTTGTGCTATCTGAAGGTTTAAGTGAATATTTATATTAATGAGCCTGTGATGGATAGATAAGGTCTATCACATTCAGT